GAGATACAAGGTCATTTCTTAATTATGTATCTAGAGATAGAGCATTTTCGAATGCAACCTAAATACTTATCATCATTAATTGACTATCGGTGAGAATGATATGAAACCATGAAAAGGCACAACTCCAGGTCAAGACTTTTCCAACGATTCCAAATTTAACCATAAAAACCCATTTTATCATATAAATACACTGGCCACAAAATTTTGCTTATTCTCTTAATAATATAGGTTTTTAAAAAATTAATAAAACGGTAAATCCAAAAATATTTTTCTCAGAATTATTATTATTAATCCAATATTTAATAATTATAATAATTGAAGCTTTCGCGCATGAATTTCTCATGGAAATAAAATCGAAATATTTACTCATGTTGTTGCTATTAATTTAGCCTTGGATATATTGATGTAAATAGAAGTATACTACAATTCAACTATGGTTATCATCGGATAGATAAATCAGATGTTAATCATTTTAAAAAATTTGATTTCTAAAAAAAGATAAAAAATAGAATATATATTTAATTTTTTGCTTGAAATTTATTTTAGATAATCATCAATCTAACTCTATGAAATTAAATTTAATAATATGATAAAAAAAAAAAACCCAAGTTATATTTAGATACAAAATAATAAAATTATATTACCTTGGGTATGCTTCCTAATTGTTCATTAATAAATGCAGTCAATGATGGTAAATCGCGAGTGCCTCGGAACTTGATGCCGTTCTTCTCACCAGTTTTGAAGAATTTCAAACTGAAAAAAGAGTAAAATAAAAATTATATATTGTATATTGTATGAAAAACAATACTTTGAATAAAAAAAATATATAACTTACGTAGGATAACCCGTGACATCATGTTCGGAACAAATAGAGCTATCAGTTGTACAATCAACTTTAGCAATTTTAACACGACTATCCTCTTCTTCGTTTAACATTTCAGCTAAGGTTTCCCATGTTGGAGCTAATCTTTGGCAGTGTCCACACCTGTCAAATTTATCGTAAATATCAATCTATTTTTCAATAAATCTAATCATTACTATCAATATTTAATAGTTTAGAAATTAAACTCGATATTTTAAGGTAGAAAAAAATTGTAAAAATAAATAAAAATTTAAGTATGTAAATACCATGGAGCGTAGAACATGATAAAGTGATTTTTTTTTGGCACTTCAATGGGAAAAGTTTCTTCGTTATACTGAACTGTATGGACATCTTCGTCGTGGGTTGAGGCCAATTGTATGAGCAATGAAACACAGATCAATATAAAAACACGCATCATTATTCCTTAATTGAGTGAACTTGTTTATAAACAACTGAAATGTCCTGAAATATATAGTACAGATTGTCAGAAAATTTAAATGCTACGTGTCATCGTCACCGGTGATGGTAATGACATGTAAATATTAATTTTGAGTAATTACAGTAAAACTAACGTACCTTAACTAAAATTTCTTATTTATAAATTAAATTACTTTTGACGACTAGGATGATTATTTTATGAACGCTGTGTTATTTATCACAAAATTGAGCGATTTCTAGCGGCTTTATCTGTTTTTTTTTATCTATGGTTAGAATCCGCCCTCTCTTACTTTCGACGCGTCATCTGCTGGATAATTTATTAAGTAAATTAATAATAATTATAATAATAAACAAAAATTCTTATTAACAAACTTGTTTGTTATTTTTCACAAATTCATTATTATTAATTGAAATTATTTTATCATTATTATCTCGCAAAAATTTTTTTTTAAGATACTGCGTATCTGTTTCTCCGCAGAATTTTATGATTGGTCCAGAGTCAATAGCGTGATTTTTTGAAATGCGAAGTTTTCATTGGTCTATTCTGTTGGGCGCCAGCTAGTAGCCAATAGAATGAGACTTTCAGCTAGATAACTTGTGCAACCGTTAAACGTTGTTCGGGTCGACACAAATGTTCCGGATCCCGGCTGAACTAGATCGCTTACAAGTACTTGCTCTTTTTTAGCTCATATTTGCGGTTATTCCATTAAAAATATTATGATAGTACATTAATCGGGTAAGATTGATCGTAATGAACAAATAGACTAATAAAGTTTTGTTTTTTGTCGCGTATTTATTTAATTACGAGCTAAATTAAAATTACGTTGTCATCGTTGGTACAATGTTCTGTCTAACTACGCCAGCGGTTATTTGATAAATGTTTTTTGAGTAATTAAATTATCGTATTTTTTTCTATTTAAATCGCGTTATTTATTATTAATTCAATAATAGAGCTTGATATTTTTTTTTTCATTAGTTTTTTTTTGCGTTTAGCGTTTTGTCAAAATGGCGTTGATACTTTGCCGGGAAAAGAAAAAAAGGCGGGAAATCGCTCGTATTTTTAAATAAATAAATTAATGTAAGTGTATAAGTGAGTGTATTGTGAATGTGTAAGTAGTGAAAATTGTGTGAGTGAAAGTAGTGATTGTGAAAAATTTTATTCTAATTAAGGTCAGTAAAGTGGAAAAAACTGTAAATAACTATGGGCTATAATTTTTGATCTTGACTCCCGTGACTTGCCTCTTCAATCCATCAAGACTGCAGTCGGTAAGTCGAATTTCTCATACATTTATAATAATAAGGTTAGCCGACGATTTTAATTTTTTTTTTTAATAATTAAATTAAAAGAAAAAAATATTTTTAAAAAATTGCACTTACAGTTTTTAAAGTATTTTACAAGTGAAATTAAAAAAAAATTTTTTTTTAATCATAACTAATTTAATTTTCATCATATTTTTATATTTTTCTTCCATTTATTGATAATATATATTTCATTTTGTTGGCTATTTATTTAATTGCAAACAAATTAACAGAATAATAGTTCTCAAATATTAATATAATCGATTTATCACTACGATGATATACTATTATTATTATTATTATTATTATTATTATTATTATTATCAATGTTAAAAATTTTTTCACTCGCGAGGTTCCAAGGTTTAGTCTTGAGTCTCACTTCACTCTTGACAGTTGACGCGACAAGTTTGAATAAATTTTATTCTACATTTTCTTTTTTTATATTTTTACTTTTTATCAAATAGTGATTATGTGAATTTTATTATCAATACAAAAAGTTTATTATTAAATATTTTTGGTAAGTATTTGCAAATTATTTATTTTTATTCATACATAGTAAAGTTGCATGATTTGTTGTTACTCTAACGTGTACTTGATCGTATACGTTATATATTTACTTTTAAATATTTTTCACAGGAAATGGATCCAAATTCAGATAAAAAATGTGTGATTTCAATTAATGAAAAAAATATTGAAGGAATAATCGGTTAGTAGAACGTTATTAAATGTATTGTGCCATAATATGAAATTGTGATCCTCGAATACTTGCAACTAGAAATTGATTTATGAATGTTTCAGAATCAAATGAAGTGGTCGTAATTAATTTTTATGCGAACTGGTGTAGATTCAGTCAACAATTAGAGCCAATTTATGAGGAAGCATGTAAAGAAGTTAGAAATTTACATCCAGAGCCGTCTAAAGTTGTGATGGGCAGTGTTGACGTGGAAACTGAACGTAATTATTTATTTAAATAATTATAAAATTTATTTTATGATTTATTTTTGGTATTATTTAGGTGCACTAGGTCAAAAGTTCAATATTTGGGTTTATCCCACCATTAAATTCATTGTAAACGGCCGCACAATGAAACGACAGTATCCAGGCAAAAGAACTTACACAATTTGTTTTGAAATTAGTCCAAGATCCAGTGATAGAAATTACTCAATTAGAGGAATTTATTGATGTGGACTCGGAAAGGATTTATGGAAAATTTATTGGATATTTTTATGAGAAAGACCAAAAATATGATAGTTACCGAAGAGTAGCAATGAATTTTAAGGAAAACAGTACATTTTATGCTTGTTTTGGGTAAAATGATTGCATAAATTATTTATAATGATTGATTTTTAGATATTTTAAATATTTTTTTATCAGTGATTCTAGCGAAAATTTACATCCGGGACATTCTTCGGTTCCTACCATCGTTTCCATCCTGATAAAAATTCCTTTGATGAACAATCACAGACTTATGGAGGAAATTTATCTTCTTTTGATGAATTATTCAGTTGGATAAAAGATAAAAATTTGTCTGTAGTACATCAAGTAGATACCAAAGAATATTTGGATTATTTATTAGAGGAAAAATTGCCACTCCTTATTTTATACTATGAAAATAATAGTAATTTGGTAAAAGATTTAAAAAAAATTATTTCCACTCAACTTATTGATAAAAAAGGTAAGCAAAATTATCATTAAACAATTAGTTTTCTGAAATTGTAGAGACTTAAAAAATTTTTATGTTTTATTTCAGAAAAACTAATATTTATTGCGATTAATGTATCTGAATCGACATATTTCAAGGTTTATTCAAATCGATATAAGCCTAATTTAGATAAGATTGAAATAAAAAATATTGAAGGTCGTTATGTACTTCCTGATTTTGACGATTTATATAGTCCATGAAAATTGAATGAATTTATAGACGACTTCTTTTTGGGGAAATTGACAAAATCTCCATTTATGTACCATTAACATTGAAAAAAAAAAAAGATAATTTATCTTTTGTACTTGTAAATCCAATGAATATTACCAAACAAAATACTTGAGTAAGAATTTCATATTTTTTTTTAAATAATTAGAAATTTTTATCATCATTTATAAAACAATAATTTTTGGAAGTTTATTTTCGATGTAATTATCAAAAATACCTTGAAAAGAATTTTGTATTTTATTTTTATTAAAAAAAAAATTTTTCTTATTTATAACTATAAAAGTCTCATCCCTTGAATCATATTGTGAAACAATTTAAACTTTTAAAACTCTTCTGATCTCGATACTAAGATCAATGTCTGGAAACAGTATCGATACATTGATACATGTAAATATCCCTACTCTCAGTTTGACATTCGATATGTATACACCTGCTTACCGACTAACTTCACTTAAGTTGACGCATCTTCGGGTGCCTACTGTCGATGTTGGCATTTTAGTTAAACTTTAAACGTAATTAATTAATGAGTACAAAATGCCGAATAACCGCTGTTTCTTCCAATTTAAATTTATTATTTTTACAATTTTATCGGTAAGTACACTTTCATTTAATTATCAATACATTCCTAATACCTTTAAATACTTAACTATTAGAATTATTCAACTTGTCACTTGTTCTTGTGACACGTTTTATGAAGCCGACGTTGTACCTGATGTTCAATAGTTTGACCATTTTCTAACATATTTACAGTATAATTTTCATTGATGGGCTACAAATTTTATGATTTTTTTTCCAAAAAATCTTTTTTTAATTGATGCAAATATAACCTTGCAAGTACTTATAACCTATCAATCTTATCAACGAATTTTTTTATCAACTTAATTGTTGGATTTACTTATCATATTTCTTCGGTTTTCACTTGTTAAATAAATTTCTCACTAATGAACAAGAAAATTACAACTGTTGGTTTCATTTAATTTATTTTTTATGCTTGACAAATTTTTTTTTTTTAGGTATTCTTGACACATCATGTCAATGGAGAGGCAGTTCAACTTACTAGTAGCAATTTCGATGAGTTAATGAGTAATTACTTTATTTTAATTATCATAATTTTAAAATCTATGACATTACAATACTTGCAATCAATAACAACTATCATTAATAATTATCGCATAATATTTATGAATTATTTAGATTGAGTAAACAAGTTTGTAATGGAAATATCTTATCATCATAATTTAAATTTTCTCTAATGTTTTTTTTCAATACTTGGTATGTTTGTGCTAGATATTATTTTTCTATTTAATGTTGCCACCAAGCATTTAGTAGCTTTTTTTTAGTTTAATTAGTTTAAATGAAATTCTTATCATTTATTTCATTTATTAGCAGGTGTCATTAAATTGTTATTAACCTTTCTTTGTAATTTAAATCGTTCAATCAACGTTAAAATTGATTAGGTTCAGTTGAAAGAAAAAAAATTCATATTTGTATTTTAAATTTGTTATTAAAGTTAGAGTTAACTGCGAAAACAAATACTTTTAGTGATAACAGCAGCCTTAATAAACTGAAGGCACTGAACATTATCGTTAAAGTTAATGACTGTAATTTAGAATATTGATAATTATTTTGTTTTTTCTGGTGGAAAATTAAAAAAAAAAAAATTCTCGATACTTGTTATGATAAGTTGATTGATTGTGATTATTAGAGTATTTTAAATATTTTAATTTAAAAACTTAACTCATTTAAATTTTTTATTTCCAGAAAATGAATTAGTATTTATTAATTTTTATGCTGAGTGGTGTCGGTTTAGTAATATATTAGCTCCCATATTCGATGAAGCCGCAGATAAACTAAAGGAAGAATTGCCAAGTGGTGCAAGTGTGGTGATGGGAAAAGTAGACTGTGATAAAGAGTGTAAGTTATAATTTATTTTTATATTTATTATATCTTTGACAAGGTAATTATAATTAAAATAATCAGGTTGATCAGACCACAAACGCAATGTTGACAATTATTTCACACTTTATTGCAACGTTTCGTCGGACATTCCGACTTCTTCAGGCAATCTAAAATACATCGTTTATTGAAATAATTTATTTATTTGATATATGTATTTTAGATTGCCTGAAGAAGTCGAGATGTCCGACGAAACGTTGTTAAAATTAAAAAATAATAAATACATTGTCAAATCATTGTTTAAATCAGGTCCTAAGGAATTTATAATTAAAATAATCAGGTTGATCAGACCACAAACGCAATGTTGACAATTATTTCACACTTTATTGCAACGTTTCGTCGGACATTCCGACTTCTTCAGGCAATCTAAAATACATCGTTTATTGAAATAATTTATTTATTTGATATATGTATTTTAGATTGCCTGAAGAAGTCGAGATGTCCGACGAAACGTTGTAATAAAGTGTGAAATAATTGTCACCATTGCGTTTGTGGTCTGATCAACCTGATTATTTTAATTATAAATTCCTTAGGACCTGATTTAAACAATGATTTGACAATGTATTTATTATTTTTTAATTTTAATTACAGCTTCCATAGCGTCGAGGTTCCAAATAACCAAGTACCCAACTCTGAAGGTAATCAAAAATGGTCAGCCGGCCAAGCGAGAGTATCGTGGCCAGCGATCAGCCGAGGCATTTGTAGAATTCATTAAGAAACAATTGGAAGATCCTATCAGAGAATTCAATGATTTGAAAGAATTAACAGATCTAGACGATAAAAAACGTATGGTTATTGGTTACTTTGATAGGAAAGACGTTCCTGAGTATGATACGTTCCGTAAGGTTGCTATCAACTTAAAAGATGACTGTCAGTTTCACGTTGGTTTTGGGTATGTTTGATTACTTATTTTAATTATTAAATACTTGAATTAAAAAAATAAAAATAGGGTTTATATATCATTAATATTAAATTTAAATAAATAATATAATTTAACAAGCCTATGCTCCAATGAAGCCTGTGAAATAGGACAATATATTGAAATATTGTGAGTAAAACATAACTAACCACTAAGCACTAGCTTGCACTATTTTTTTATTTCAGTTTCAAGGTCGCAAATAATTATTTGTGACTCATCGTTTTAAGTTCAATAATGTATTATGCATAATGTTATTATTTTTTAAAATATTACATGTTGTTTATTATTTATCATGTAATACTAATTTTGCCTTTTAGAGTTTTTTTTTTAAGCATTAATAATACTTTACTTGTCCACGCAGTGACGCTAGTCGTGCTATGCATCCACCGAACCAACCAATAATTGTATTTAGGCCTGATAAGGCTCTATCAAATGACCAGGACGAAACTTACCAAGGAAGTTTACTTGTTTATGATGAATTAAATATCTGGGCCCAAGAGAAATGCATACCGCTTGTACGAGAAATAACATTTGAAAATGCTGAGGAGTTAACTGAAGAAGGCTTGCCGTTCCTCATTCTATTTCATGCACCTGATGATGTTGAAAATGTTAAGAAGTTTAAAGACATCGTCGTATCGAAATTGACTGATGAAAAACGTAAGTTTCGAGTTGATTGTACTAAAGAATTTTTATTACAGAAACTAAAAAGTTTATAACTATTTTAAGTTTTATGAAAACTGTTGGAAAAATTGTTTATGAATTTATTGATGAAGTGGCTGGTGTGATAAGTAATTGAATGTTAATAAACAGCTAATTAATTGATATTTTACATTTTTTAATAGAGAATGTAAACTTCTTGACGGCTGATGGATTTAAATTCGCTCACCCGCTCCACCATCTAGGCAAAAGTCCATCGGATTTACCATTGATAGCAATTGATAGTTTCCGGCATATGTATCTGTTCCCGAAATTTAAAGATATTGATGAAGAGGGAAAGTTGAAGCAATTTTTACGTGACCTTTATTCTGGTAAATTGCATCGTGAATATCACTATGGTCCAGATCCAACAAATGAATTAACTGACGACTCAAGAACACCCACTGTTCCACCAGAATCAACGTTCAAGAAGCTCGCGCCAAGCAAAAACAGATACACGCTACTTAAAGATGAACTGTAAAAACAGACATGTGAATTATTAAAAAAAAAAAAAAAAAAAATGAAGAAAAGCAAAAAAAAATCGAAAAAAAGAAAACAGCTCAAAATAGTGAGTTAATAATTATTTGAGTTGGTTTTGTAATTATTACTTTATTATAAAATCGTCATGCTTAGCGATTTTATGGAGTGTAAAATTTTTTAAAATGAGTTTTAGTTGTTATATTGTATTTAAAACAATTTAACGTTAATATTAACCGGTTAATTAAATAGAAAATAAGTTTTAATCTTATCAATCTTTTGTCAAAGTGCTCTTGATAAGATTAATAATGAATGAATTAAATTAAGTAATAAATTGTATAATTAAATAACAACTATGTAAATTAATAGTTATGATTTATAAAAACGTTAGAATATTAATATTGATTAATTTTGTTTAACTATCGTTTGGGACACAGGATTTAATGCTGAGCCATTTATCTCGTTTAATCAAATGAATCAGGGATAATTGAACGGAGTACAATTAAAAGAAAAAAAAAAGTTAAAAAATAAAATTAATACTAATTATTTTTTGATGTAATTATAAATAGAATTATTGACTGTAATTATAATTATGTTTATATTACTCCGTAAATTTATTAATATATTAAATATTTTATTTAGAGAATCTCTGATTTATTAAATAAAAATGGATACAATCAATTTAAAGGCAATAACAAATAAATCTTAAGATTAATTTTTATTTTTTTTTTCACATACTTTATTCGGTCGATCTAATCTGCAGGATATGATTTTGTACAATCATTAACAAAATAACGATGTAACTGTATATATGCACACGAGTTTCATATACGATAAAAATGAGTCTATCGGTTTAATAATGATACAAGTGTGAGTGTAATTTGAATCTGATGGATGATTAAATATTTAACATAGAAAAAAATCGAATTATTTTCGTGATAAATCTTTTCTTTTTATATCTTACATAGATTTGCTAGTACATTTAATATATTATATACGAGCTATTGAAATCTGATTCTGATAATGTTCTGCTATTTGTATAGACGACGGTATTAATTTTATTATTAATAAACATTTGTCTAAGTCATTGATCATTAGTATTATTTATTATTAAACTCCAACATTTGTCATTGTTTTAATGACAATAAAATAAATAATTTTTATTTATTTAATAAATTACCTTAGAGAGATGAGAGGAGTCTTCCACAAACCTTGGAACCCGTAACGAATAAATTAATATTTTTTTTAAACTTAAATCATTTATCCGGTAATTTATAATAATTGGGAAAGGGAAAAAAAATTTATTAACAATAATTGGTTTGAATGTCCATTATAAAATGGCTGTATTTCATGAATAACGTGATATACATGTATTACATTCCATCAGTACACATCGTCACCGTATAACTCATTGTAATTATCAACTATCCTTTTTATATCTTTATTTAAGACAGCGTATATTTTGTTTAACACACATAAATATACATATATATTGATAATAATATTAATATGTATATTTAAAACCACACATACAGTTTTATTTATTTATGTTAAATTATTTTAGCAATCTTTTAAAATCACATCTCTAATTATTTTATTTATTACTCTGGCGAAAATCCTAATGAAGCAGACCTTTCACGATATTCTGGATCGTAGAAAATAGAAAGTCAATAAAGTGTATATAGTATATATATTTTTTTAAATCGATAAACGTGCAATCAATGTTCAAGAAAGTGACTTTTAATTTCAAAAATAATTAGATCAATTCATTGCATTTATTGTTTCTTCATATTTTACGTAAAGTTATTTATTCAATTAAACGTTATTAATATTTATCACCGTCAACATTTTAATCCAGGCACGATTTAACGTCCGTATTTATTTATTTTATTATTTTTATTTAAAATCATTTAAATTATCAAAGCGTTACCTTATCGACTTTCAATTCCAAATATTTCTCCTGCTCATTTTGGCTGATTGTGCTTTTTAGTTTCAGTTTTTTGTTTGTTTCCTTTATGATTCTTTGTTCCCAACATTATTGGAATTCAGTTGTGTTGTGCTTTAAGGTTTTTTTAAAGTATAAAGTTATAAAGATAACAAGGAAAAAAAAAAACTAAATACTCAAATTAATCGTACAGAGTGGTTTAGAGATTGAGTGCATCGCTGAGTAGCAAGTTAATGTGCGTATAATCGATCAAAATTTCAAAATGTTGATTAACATTTTTGATTTATCTCTTTTTAAACTGCTTATGAAATTAGTATTAATTTTGAATTAGCATCTTGTAAGTCGATAAAACAAAAGTGTTAAACGGCTGCATTTCGAAATTCATTAATCACCATGCCATTAATTTTAAACGTCACGAAAATCAATAATAAAATTCAATATTTGAACTAATTAATATAATTATTCCTTATAAATATTTTTCTATTATTATCCGTGACTTTTAAAATTAAAATTTTTAGTGTTTTATTGTTTGTACGAGTGTACATGTACAACTGTTTTGTTACTAAATTTTTCTTAACCGCGCACGCATGAAATTTAAAAATTTATGCTAGAAAAATAACTTGGTAAATAATCCTTATATAATTATTTAAAAACATTAGTTTTAAATATTTGTTTTAAGTAACAAAAAATAAAAATATTTTACCCTCATTACAGTGGCTCTTTCGTTATTTTTTTGCGCTTAGTACATTATTATGTGCTCCATATAAGTGTATATATTTATAAATAATGTATTATCATTAATATAATTCTTATATATTTCAATCAAATACACAAGCATATATTTATATAGTCGCGAATAATTTCTTTAAATAATCTATTGAAACATTTTTTTTATCGATAAATTTATAGTGCAAATAATAAACGCACAGTCCAGCTGTTGCACCCCTTTTTATAATGAAATAATTATCATATATTTATTTATTCATATTTATATATATATATATTTTTTTTTTCTATTATTGAGTTAATAAATTAATGAAAGACTTTTTTTTATTATTATTATTTAATATTATTATTGTTATTTGTAATTATTATTGTAAATTATAATCTCGTTGACTTTTTCGTCAAATTTTTTAACTTTTAATTTTTATTTTTCGCTATACTGAACAGTAGATTTATTTTTAAATTGCAATTATTAGGCCAACCATTTTATGATTTTTCTGAAATTGCCCACCAAGAGTAAAATAAATATTTTTATTTTTATCGTGATATTTTTTTTTTAGTAACGTATAGATAATTTTTAACAACAAATTAACATTTTTTCTTAACTATCTGATCAATATTTCTCCATAGTCTTTTATCGTATCAACGCAAGTAAAAGTATTTAATAATAACAATTTAAGAAGCTGCTGATGGTATGCATTAGTAAAAATACAAGAGAAAAATTCGACGAATTAAATATTAATAATGATTAATCTTACGCTATGTAATCAACACAGTATATTTATATTACGAATATTTAAATAATTTCATAACTTGTAACAAAATGCGACACGGAATTTATTTTTACTCCGCAAATATAACTTTCTTGTCTTTCGACGCTGCAATGATACCTAGCAGATTATTTAATTGTTTTATATATGATACTAATTGTTTGGGCTTGTTCATTTATCAAGGTACAAGAACATATTTTATAATAACTGAATCTAAGACATTGAAAACATTAATACCTACAATAATAAAATTATTAAACACAAAAAAAAATGAATTTCAAAATATATATCAATTAAAAACGCATATAATCATAAAGTGACATTGTTAGTATTTATGATTGTTATTTAACATCTAAATATTATTATCAAACTAATGGATTTTTCTAGATGGATTTATGTTTGTTTATTTATTATTAAGTATCTAATTTGATTATTTTCGCAATTTCAACACACATATGATATCTTCTAAATTTACTATACATTTAATATATATCAATACAATTTCCCATTTTTTTTTACAATGGTGAGATGTCAAAGTATTTTAAAAATAAACTTATTAATAACTTGAATAATTAATGAATTGATTCGCGAGAAATTGAAATAAAATTTTCGGTTATTTAATTATTAAGCAATCCACGTATTGAACGATTATTTTACCAAAGTATTTACCTTAAAACTGTATATAACAAAGTTTATATAATTTAAGAATAATTGATTAGATGTTTGATTTGAATAATTACTTAATCATTTAAATATAAAGAAGGTTCGTTGTAATTATTATAATTATTTCAAACTATAATACATTTTGTAACGATGGTTGCAAATTTATTAAAAACGGTAATCTCATAACGCAGTCAATAGTAATATAATAGGGAAGACCTTAGCATTAAATAATTTGTGACTTCATAAGCTGCGGTAATTGATTAATTAAATTATAATTCATACATTGATATTTCAGGTATTTTTTTAACACAACCTTAAAAACTTTGTTTGTAATTTACTTGAGTTACAAAAAATTTTTGATTAGAGCCAAATAAATTAATCAATTCGAATCATACATCAATTTGTTACCAAATCATGAACTTCAAGTATTTATTGTTTATAAATAATTAGAATAATAATTTTGGATACAGTCAAGACGGCCTATTATTTAACTTGATTAATTTTCGATAGTTAAATTATCAAAATAAATATATACAACTAATATACTAAATATTTGCGTGTAAATTCAATATCAAACTAAGTTATTTCACATATAAAAAAATATTAAAACGTATTTCATCATCAGTAACTGAAGTAATAAAGTGAACACTTTAGCCATTGGAAAATGGCTAATTCAATTATTTAAAGTTTTAAATAAGTCAAATTTTAATTAAAAGCATAAACTTAGGCCGTCCTAGTCGACTAACCATTCGGATAGATATATTTAAATCTGTCACGTATATATATATAATCGTCATTGGGACGTTTTGTATTACTATTTTAATTGTCTCATCATCATTGCCTTCATTATCATGATCATAATAATCTTGTACTTAACATAAGTAAGGGTATTTTTCAAGGTACTGTTGCTTATTTATATTTCGTGAATGCTCTACTTTATTTGTGAATGTCAATCGATCCTTGTCGTATTGCAACGCTAAGTGATAAACGAAAACGTCGATAGTGGCATTCATTTTCTTTACTTCATATTTATATATTTATGTGTATATATTTTTTTGTTCTGTTGCATATATAATATTTTTATTTTTTTTTTTTTATTATCAGTACCCACATATTTTACCATTTTGATATGCGCCCTCGCAAACTCTCAAGCATTAGCATTGCAGGTAGTTTAGGGACGTATGTTTATAGATATATGTACCCACAATATTATGCAATATCGTATGTATAGGTATATATATGTATGTCGTAGTAATTCTATGTATTTTTTTCGGACGTTTTAATTCAACATACAAGTAAATAACCCAATACTTATTGTCAATCTCTTGATAACATAATCGACGTTACCGGTTCTTATTTTCAGCTCATTTATCACACCCCTACGCAAATATTAGTTTACGCGAAAAAATGATCAAATATTATACTATCATATATGATAATATTTATTTATAAAATATATTCATATCTAATTCTTAAATTTTAACACGTTAAGAATGAAATAAATTCAAATATAACAATAAATATACTAATTATAAAGAAGATATAGTCATATGTATTCATATATATGTTTCATGATCACGATCACATACCACCATATTTATTTTTATGTATATTTATACGAATATACATAAACGATATATGGTCATATACATTTATATATGAATGAATATAAACACGCCTGTATATCAATATATTTTGTATACTAATATATTAAACCATATAAAAGTATTTTCTGTGAAAAATTATTTGTATACAATCGGATATGAATATAAATTATATAAAAAATTTAATATGATATATGATTATAAAAATAATATATGATAATTTTTTCTCAGCTCAATCTTGCTTATCATTTGATTTTTTTCTTTAATTAGTCAGATGTTTTTTTTAGTTTTTTCATAATTTACGGCACAGGCTTAACGCAACATATTCTAAAATAGTTAGATTTTTATTTGTTAAAGTTGTTTTTTAATATCAAACGACAAAAATATTATCTAATAGCCACATCACTTATTGAACTACATTTGATTTCACGCATTGTTTGTCTATTATATCTTGCAATGCCTGAAAAATGTTTAATGTTTAATCTAGTGTCTATTGGATCATTTTTTATTATTTATTATGTTTATTCATTAATTGTATTAATCAATTATTTTGTTAGTTAACTTTTTAATTTTAGATCTTTAAGGATTCTTTGTGTGTATCATTATAAGTGCGTTATTTACTAGCGGGTGTAATGGTAGAGAAAAACAGTGACGAAGTTACTGAGTTTACTTAACGTCGAAATATTTATCAATTAGTTTTTTTTTTTTCATTTTATTTTTTATTTTTTAACAGCTACTAGTAATGTTAACATGTACTTTTTTTAAAATAAATTTATTTGAGTTTAAATAAGTAATTAGCTATTTAAAAAAACAAGTATGTTAAAAACAAAAATAAAATGGAATCATCTATGTTGTACGGTTTCAGTTCAGTAACGTTGCAACGTTTTAATTTTAATTTTTTTTCATTATTCCTTTTGAGGATTTATTCAAATAAATTCCAACGCGCGGAAAATAATATACGTTAAAAAAATTATTTTCATTTAAATCCGAACAATATTGGCAATTTTATATTTTTAATTGAGCGAAATTTAACTTATCATAAAGTTGTTTTTGTTTCTTCTTTTTTATTTATTAATATGGCTGTTTGATGTAGCAAATAAACATTTAATTTATATTAAAGACTTTCTTCAATATTTTAAAGCCGTTTTTGTTTTGTTCATTTGTATTAATTAAGTCTGTGAAGTTTAATAATTTTCAAATAGTAGAATAGAAACACACATGTATATTTAATATAATGTGTGTTAACCGAAGCTCTCAGTTGATTGTTTTTGGATGCAACTTAATAATGTTTGTCAAATTCCCCTTTCAAAAAACTAGTTATTTATTTTTTCCTCCTTCTTAATCTACCAACAGATTACTTAACTTTGAATTAAAGTATAAATAGTTTTGACGATGCAATTAGCAGCTGTGCAGCGGAGGAGCGTTAGTAATACACCAACTCGTTGAAGTTGGTGGGAATATTACAGTCGTCTTGAAATTGAAACTTTTTTTAAGGGTTTTTGATAGTCTGGATATTGTTACGAAGAAACTTTTCGTTCATGTTTTTTAGTTTATTTTACATTTCTTTTATGCTTATTACTTTTGTATGACCTCAATACTCTTCATTCGAAGCTTACGTTTTTCGGGATTTCCAGTGTATTCAATTTGTCATCTTTATTAACCAACTAAAAATTTTTCATCAGGAGCATAGAAGTTTTTTAAATCCTCTTCTAGAAGTGGTCGAAGTATGTTATCGATTTTCTTTTTTTTATCTCTTCTTAAATTTGTCATACAAACTAATTCTTAGACGTCAGGATTGTCACAAATTCTGAAATTAATCATGCGTGAGTCATATTATGAAATTATTCTTTTTACATCAATTACAGAATAAATTACCTTCATAATTGACCATTCCATCACCATTCAAATCAGCCTCTTTGATCATGTCATCGACTTCTTCCTCAGATAATTTTTCTCCTAAATTCGTCATTACATGTCGTAATTCCATTGATGAAATTAACCCATCATTGTTTTTATCAAATACTCTGTTAGAAATAAATTCAAAAAATAATAAAAAATCTTCTCACTTAAATTTTTTAAAAAAATTAAACGAAAATTAAAATTACCTAAATGCTTCTCGTAATTCAGCTTCACCGTCAGCTCCTTTCATTTTCTTCGACATCATTTGTAAAAATTCATTGAATTCAATAGTACCATTCCCATCTTGGTCAACTTCATTCACCATATCTCGAAGTTCCGTTTCTGAAAAGCACAATTTTATCATTATAACCATCAAAATAATAATGTGATTATGATTATAAAGTGTCGCTTAAAGTGCTCTTGTAAAATAAAATTCGAATGTAATTGTATCGATTTTAAAAGTTACAATACACTGAACAAGTGGTAAGTGCTTGAGAAAATCGTTAAAACTCGGTAAAAAAAATATTCGCAGAGATTAAAAGGTTTTGAGACAAGTGTTTTTGACGTAGTCAAGCCTGATTGGGGATAAAGATGAAGCTAAAGCTTAAGAGGTTGGAAGGTGGAAGGAAATTTAGTGAAGTACATGTTGAATCATCTCGTTCCTCATTACTTGCGCGGAGCTTATACAGACTTAGTACAACAACTACTCGAGTATATGCTATAGAAAATTTTCCAATACTCGACAAATTGCATTCCATTTTCTCAAGCTTATACACACGCATTACATAAATTTTAATCTTCCATTAAAGTTATAATGACTAGTAATTAATTAATCTTTTTTTTTTGTAACGACGATAAATTAAATTTTTTAATACTGTCAACTAATGTATATTGTTAATTGTCATACTTGTAGATATAATAAAACTGTCAATTTTTTAATTTTAATGTAAAAGTCATAAAAATTAATAGAAATTAATATGCAATGCATTTATCATTAATAGAAATGTCTAAAATATTGATTGTAAAGTTATGTCAGTTGATAGATGTTCCTATTTCGCATACTACATACAATAAATAACCACGGCTAATTAACTGAATATTTAGGTATTCAATTAATTGGTTATTTAGCATTTACATTACTAAGGCACACTCTCTAGGGCTCCGCGATGAATTATCAGTCATTGTCATTGGTATCATACAATACCGAATGAGTTCTATAATTATTGATTTATTACGCTCTGTAGATAAATTTTTAATAATATATTTTATAAAATATAACGAAAGCCTTTTAATTCTAAAATAATTGTGGCATTTTATACTTAAGAAAAAAAATATGACTGTTTTATAATCGCTCAATTAGCCATATTGAACTGTTAGATCGGTTATCTTCGGTTTGGCTAATTGTTGCCTCTATAATTATCTAGATTGGGACTACGGTAATGCCGTGTATAGCCAATTAAATGATAAGTATCATTGATATGATTATCCATATAATACTTAGTGGATCTTTACACAGAATTTCTCGACATCGTAATATTAATCTAAAAAATTAATATTTTTCTAATTTTTATGGTAAATTCTTGTACTGTTTATATCAATTATGCGTCAAGACACATGATTAATAACATACAACAACTGATGATTAATCACGGGAGCTTCAAGTCGTTTGTTTAGGTAAAATAATTATTTACCCGATGGTCTTTGCCCCAGTGAGCGCATCACGACCCCCAGCTCGGCCATGGTAATCGTACCGTCTTCATCCTTGTCAAACAGCATAAATGCTTCTTTGAACTCTGTAACAGACCAATAAAAATAATAATAAATAATGAGTTGAAATTATGCTGTAAAGATTCACGGTACTATTAATAAGCTAATATCTCGGTCAGAGTAACAATAAAAATTCGCATAATACCTTTTATTATCTAGCAAACATAAATAACATCAGATATAGTGATGCGATTAATAAAAAAAAAAAGCCTTGGCGACTGTTTGGCGGCAACCGACCAAAGTACATTATTATAAATGCATGTACATGAATTGGATGGTGAAAACGCACAAGCACATAGATGACAAATAAACGATCAGTGAATAAGTTAACTTGCTGGCAGCATTCATATATTATATATCTTTTGGACACTCACTAATGCCGAGAGTTTAGAACACCCCTACACTATCGTTCCCTTGACTATTAATCATTTGTTTCGACGGCGATATGTGCTCATGTGTGATATCGGTGTAAAAAATAATATTTGTGTGCGTTGCGTGGTCGCAAAGTGTTTTATACATGAAAATATCCATGTACGAGTAAGAATGCGCTCTGCAAGCTAGTGGGCAGATGGCCAGAATTCTCAACACTGGTCTATATCATACTGTACCACACCTACTCCTCACTTCTCATAACTATCGCTATACAGATACTCAATATTATAAATCTCGATTTTAAAACCCCCAAGTGGGTTCTCGTGTTTCTATCCAGCACTGTGTTTTTAGTCCTCAATACACTTGTAACTGGGAATTATTCTGGGACACACCAATACTCCTCGTATCAATACTTTTTTTTTTTTACATATTTCATACATGCTCGTAACTATAGCTGTCATATGTGGATAAGTTTTTGTACTTCTATTGTATAAAAGTTGATTTAAAGTAATCGAAAATTAGATTGTACTCTCTACTTTTTATTCCTACAAATGTGTATTTTTACGCAACCCATTATTCATTATTAGTTTCAGTAGATCTTTTTAACGTGAAAAATTATTTAAAATACCCGTTTAATGGATAAAATTGAATTGCATTTGATTAAGAAAATTTTTTTAAATTTAAAATGACGGAATAAATTTGAATAATTATTCAGTTTAATTTTTCTATTACATTTTTATTAAAATTTTTTTAGCCGTAACTTAAAACAATTTTTTCACATGATTAATATTATTATTAACAGTATGAACAATTGTGACTTTTAATCGTGATATTTTTTATTTTTAAAAATTCTCTTCGTTGTATCTAATCTTATACGGAGCTCAAAGACTCTCTTGAGAATTTATCCAAGCCAGAGAATTACCTATATATATATATATATATATATATATATATATATATATATATATATATACATAACTCAAGAAATACCATTACTCTTACTCCTAACAGTGCAACGGGTGCGAGCGATGCGGAAATCCAATGGGAATCGAAATCGAGTCGATCTGGCCTTGCGAATTCTCATGTATAGTTCCTTACAAATTTACGGCCCAGAGTGCACAAGAAAAGTTTAATCAACACTGCATAATATAATAGCACTTATTCAATAAAAAAATATAAATCACATAGATTTCTCTATCTCGAAATTTAATTGTTCTCACATGATTTATTAACTATTTAATTCAACTAACCAACTTTATTCATCGAGCATTTTAATTTAATTCAAAATTCTACATACCCTGCATTTAACAGTTTTGATACATTTCATTTATTAATTATTATTATCATTATAATATCTTTTTTGTACAGTCACGCGAAAGGGAATTTGCGTTCATGCTCCAAATAAAATTCTCAACTGTCCTAGCAATTAAAACTTTTTTAGTAGCTCTACTCACATATTTCAATAAAAAAATACTGAGCACTTTAATAAAATGTAAACTTTGCAGTTCTTCGCATGACCTAGTCGAAGGATCGTGTATACATATTTACGTATGCAAATGACCTACTAGGTGAGGAGAACACACACACGCACACATTTACAATATATGTGTATCTACATTAAATTATGTTAATAATTATCATTATATATCAAAATTCATGTTTACTGCACAACTTTGCGAATAAACAGTTTCAAACTATTACGCTGTACTCAGAAAATTATTTCTTGATGACTCAATTCATTAATTAGGCAAAATTTGAAAACAATGGCTTTCTATAACTAAACGAATTATAATCGAGGCACAATATTTCAATTAATTACAAATTTTAGCTTCAAGTTTTTTATCGAGTATAATTTAATGAATTTAAAGACATCAAATAATCTTACCAGCAACTTGATCCTCCGTGAGCCCATATTCCGACTGAAAAATAGAAACTTTGATTAGTTATTTCTATAAAACAACTTTGCTATAATAATAGTAAATTTTATATGAATTCAAAGAAGAAATCATATACTCTTAGCTTGAGGTTGTAAAATGAAGGGGCACTTATTACATTAAATTGAGAGTTTGAGAATCAATTTGATTAGTAAGCCGGTGTAAATTACGATAGTGATATGAATCATTTATCCTGGTAATACTGGAGACCATTATCATGTAATCATGCAAACGTTAAGTAAATAGATTTCAGAGTGAAGGCTAAATCTTGTTAATCCGTTTGATAGCAATGTTGGATATCACATTATAGATTGTATGAGTAGAGTAGGATATGGCTTGGTATATGTATAATAGAGAATAAGCTTAGAGATCAAGAATAAGAGGGAAAGATGTGACAGCAAGATCAGACGGTGAGAAGAGTGAGAGGCAAAAGGAAGAGAAGCTTTGGCCGATTGCCGAAAGCTTACGCTCAAAACTTGTCTCGTCTTGTACACGAAAATCCACGTGTTATGTATGTGTAGTGTGGTCGGATGAGAGGTCATTTCCCGTATTATTAGTAATGTATGTCACGGTAGACGACGATCATCACAACCGGTATATACTCTGCTCTATGGTAACGGATGTCCGTCGCCACGTAATTGGCTCGTTAAAAGTTTCTTGCTCGAACTAAAATTCACCCTATGCATGATAACACACTTGCGTTAATTCTTCAAAGTCTTCATTAGTACAATGAACATTCACATATTTAGTGTACGGTTTAAAAAGACTATCCATTTTGGTATGTAAACAGGAATTTTAATTAAAATTTACTTTTCAACCGTTTTGGATTTAAAGGAGTGTAGAGAAATATTTTTTATTTGTACTTTAAAAATAAAATCAGTAGATGGCTTGGTAATTTGCAACATTGCGAAAACCATTCATTAACACATTCGAGTTTCAAAGCTCGACAATTTTCCAATTTCCGATAAATTATTCGACTGAAATGATGAATGTGTCTAAAAGAAAAAAAAATTCAAACAAAAGAATAAACGAGCCACAAAAAACTAGGAAAAAAAAATTGTCATTTCTATGTAAATATATAAAGAGGAGTTTGTTGAATTTTATGTGTATGAGCGACATAATCATAATTTTACGACATTAGAGTTAAGGTTTCTCTCTAGTTAGCCTTCAATTTTATTGCCAATACTTTAAAAAATTTTGGTATAGTACGAGCACACAAGTGTAAGCGGATGAAAAGAAAATAAAAACAAAATTGCTAGACAGACGAGCACATGTTCTGCGACTTGGTGTTTATAAACGATGACACAGCTGTATCTAATGTTATCTATTTTGATATTAGTCAGCAATAAAAACTTGAGGTTTTCAGTCGGTATATTCGTGGTTATAACTTAATATTTCGAAATTTGCTGATGCAATGTCGACTGCAAATTGGCTCGTTATTTGTACATTCTGAAAAACCTTTAAACTATTTGTCAAATTTTGTTCCCAACAATTTTTTTTTACTAATGATAAAAAAAGGCCAAATTTACTGAAAAAGTTGCCTTCGTTTTTTGTCAAATATTCTGCTGCACAATGACCCAATTCATCGTTTGAAAAAAAAAAAATATATTCGTTACTTTCATAGTTTTGAACACAAAAATTAAAAAAAAAAAAAACTTCATTCATGCATCATAGTCACTGAGGTAGAGATAAATATTTTTGTTTACTCATTTTTAATACACACACGCATTTATATGCACTCGCATGAACGAATTGTTATTTCAATATCCAATTCAACTGAAATTAAAACGCAGTTACAGTTATAATGTTAACTCGAATGTTTATTTTACCATCTACCGAAATTTTAATATCACAAGGTAATTTTATTATTTAAAAATAATGACAAAAAACACATAAATACAAAGCCATGGGATTTTTTATTAGTCACACTTGGCACAGTACCAGCGATTACAAGCAATGAAAACGTTTTAGCCAATTTCAGAGTTTAATTATCCATGTGCAATAATTAAATTAAATCAATAAACCGAAAACTTACACTGATTTGCCGTATTTGGGGATCTATCGAGCTAGTTAATCTGCGGAGTCTTCCGTACTCAGATGTATATTTCTTTTCTGTATCAGCCATTGCGTTTAAAAGTCAATTATTCGATTTATGTATCACTCAATCACAAATAAAAACGTAAAAAATACTTCTAATGAACTTAACTAGTACAAAACGTAGAGCAGTAGAATAAAAGAGCAAATAAATAAATAGATGTAATAACAATTAAATTTTTATCTAGACTCAGTAATCTCAAAGCAAACACTTGAAATTTAAATATTTAGCTTAACGTTAGCACGTTATAAAGTTTGCTCCAACACACAAGTAGTTTGATGTTACGAGAAGAGCGCACTCATTGATCAGTAGCCAGTGTATAGAGGAGTTTACTCAACAAATTTGTTAATCTACTAGTATTGTGAGATAAAATGAAATATAGGTGTGTGTATGTATGTTTATATATGTATATATTTTACAGTTTAACTATGTCGATAGTGAAATTGCTGCGGAATTTAAAGGAAATGGCGTAACGTTATATTACGATAGTTGGCTATAACTAATACTCGTCGACGCGCTTTTACTCGGTATCCTCAACTTCACTTATATTATGTACACTGTGTAGTATAGAGAGAAGATAGTCCGCTACATTTATTACTGGCACGTCCCAGCTATACAAGTATATGGTATATATAATAGTGTATAAGCTATAAGCATCAGTATATAGAGCAGTTCTCTGCCAGAATTTCCGGATTCCCCGACTTTACTTATGTTTGTTGGGAACAAACTTTTAGTTTAATTTTTGTCATCATTCTTTGGCTCTCACTTGTACACTGGATTAACTAACAATATGTAATCATTAAATAAATTTATAAAATTAATTAACGTGGTTAATGATAAATAATCGATTGTCGCAGCATTATTATTTTGAGTAATTAATAATTATTTTATTTCAAACAATCGGTGTGGATAATATAGCAGAAAATATAGAGTTCAGCTTGTTATAAATTTTTGAAAAAAAAAGATAAAATTTTTCCCGAAGAAACATCGGTTGTTAGTTGTACTCGTGGGTGAATTCGCGATTGTGACTGACTTGAAAGGAACACGATGATATTTTCCTCTTGTTGAGTGTAACCTTCGACCGTTTTTAAACCTCTGTACCTCTGACGATTGGTTGTTGGCTCGTGTCTCTTTTGTGTTGTTGTGTCGCGCCAGTACACGTTGGTGGACCCATTCTGCCTCTACACTTTATTTTGTTTTTATTTTCTATGTCTCTTTCTCATACAGGAAATAACACAGTCTGCCAAGATATGTGTTTTGAGACAGAGCTTGCGATCTATCTGTCTATCAATTAAATATATTTCAAGGGCTTAGAAGCTTGTCTACTGCCTACTCGCTCCAATGCTGTACTAATATAACATCCAGTTTTATTTGTTCTATTGCACGCCTCATAGCGCGAAGCGCTTGAGGTTGTGCTTTATACTCAACTCGTCAAGGTCAAGCAATTTTGTGATCTTTAAATGCCTCTATCACAATCATATATCACTTATTCAATGACATAAATTGATGCACACCGAAAAAAACACTTAAATTAAACCATCTTTTACTTTCTAAAATAATTTTATGTTGCTACTTTGAAAAAAAAAAAACGTTTTGAAAAAAATTTTATGTGGACGTCCGGATGTCACCCTATTTTGGATGTACCAACGATTACTCCCGAACAAATTGATATTTCAAGACCGGACCTTTTTTATTAGTTTAAGAATTTGATCAACTGGGTCCGTATTTCATATCAGTGGCCTAGTTTACGTATTTTTTTTTTTTTTAATTGAATTTTTATTAAAATTCACTACGATACAACCGTACAAAGCCAAATGAACTTTTCTTATTTATCACGTGAAAACTATGGCGCCACTTGATGAAGCTAGATTTTTTTAGACTGCGTGCGCATATGACAAGAAAAAAAAGCGCAAATATTTTAAAAAAACTACTCTGTAAGAAATTACTTAATTATAATTTTTTTTTTTTTTGAATCAATACACAATATTTTTTTCTTAAAAATGAATTGAGCGATTATGAGGCGTGCACTTTGGATTTTCCAAACTTTTTATTTTTATTTATACTAGATTTTGAATAGGTTTAGTCAATCCTTTGCTAGATTTTTTTAGACTGCGTGCGCATATGACAAGAAAAAAAAGCGCAAATATTTTAAAAAAACTACTCTGTAAGAAATTACTTAATTATAATTTTTTTTTTTTTTTTAATCAATTACACAATTAATTTTTTTCTTAAAAAATGAATGAGCGTTATGAGGCGTGCACTTTTGGATTTTCCAAACTTTTTATTTTTATTTATACTAGATTCAAAAATTTTTAAAGTTACTAAAAAAAGCTTTTACATTTCATGGAAAATACATGAAATTTTTTTACGAAATCAATTGAGTGAAAAAATATTTTATTTTAGAGTGTTTTTGGCTATTAACAATTTTATCTTTATTGAATTTGAATATTACATTGGAATTTTTTATCAATTATTTTCTTCTATTTAATGTCTAGTGTTTCTTTAAAATTAGTTGGGAATAATTACAAGAAATACATTCCATAAAAGATATAAATTGGGTTTATTAGCCATAGAGATGTTTATTTTACATCGTGGGTACTATACATAAATAATTAAATTGTTAGAGAGTAGAGTCCCGGTAATTTAGTTATCTGCACTTTAGTTAGCTGTCAAGTTTTAACAGTTACTCAAGTATTTTACGACTTGCATACACTGAACATTAAAACAATATGGGCGAGGGCATTTACATGCAGGCGATGACCTAAAGTATTACTAGAATACATACTAAGAACTGGAAATGGTAGAACAGTGAGATTAGATACCGCTGGGTTCCAGGTGCTAAAGAACTATCGATTGATTATTCTTGCAGCAGTACAAGTGGGTCACATTCAAACCGTTTTATTCGCTACCAGTACCACTCACTGCTATCGAATAAAAAAAGCTAAAGCTTCTCGTTGAGTCTTTCCTTCTCACGTGTTTTTGTAAACAGAACATTTCGAATTCAAGTTTAAATTTATCAAGTTATGTAATTTGCAATAAATTATGGAACCTTGTAAATTTTATTTGGTACTCAATATTCCACTTGAATGGAGACTAGTTAGGTTTCGAGGGTATTTTTGTTACGTGCTTCTCCGAATTCTCGCCGTATACAATAAAATAAAGTTTAAAATTTAATAAAAAAATAAAAACAATAATGATAATGATAATAATAATACTTGAAAAAATATTAAAGCTTTAGACCTCAGTGTAAATGAAGATATTTTAGTTATTTTTTCTTTTTGGTCGACTCAGCTCATGGTTTACATTCACATATTTTTTTTCTTTACCCAATAGCATATATATGCTTACCTTTGATGTTAAAAATGTCATTGCGACCTCGAAATAATTTTTTTAATAGCAAAGTTTTGAATAATTCACTTTTTTCCAATTAAACTTAAATTAACAGACGTCTGTATTTTTTCTCAATAATTCAACTATCAGACGGGTAATTTATTAATCGTTTTATAAATAATGGCAATAAATTTTTGGCCTTGACTTATTTTTAAATATATATTTTCGAAAAACACAAATAAAAAAATTATTGACCTCTAATATTTTATAAAATAAATCAGAGACACTTATAATATTTACGCATATTTTATTTACAAATAAATAAATCTCAAAAATTTTTTTACGTCATTAGTGCATGTGAGAAGATGAGCATAATTTTTAAAAGTACAAAAGGCACGTAGTAGCTTAAGGGAAGTTTATTTTTATTTGAAAAAAATTTTTTTAACGAATTGCAAACTTCTAAACAAGGGTTTAATCGTTTTAAAATATTTGAATAAAAAAAAAAAAAAGTGGCGACTTACCAAATTGATGGTGACAATCAAATCGTACTGTTGTCGTTGTCCCTTCTTTTTATTTTTCCCGGTCTTAACACAAGCCGCTTTTGGTGTTACTTTAACTTGTCCCTTTTGTGCGCTTGGTTTCTGAGCCGGCTTACCGGATCCTTTTGCGGCCGCACCTTTCTGTCCTCCAGTTAAGGGTGCTTTTTGCCCACTGGTTCCTTTTTGATTAACGTGTCCGGTTCCGTCAGCTGGTTTGTTGCGAGCCTGTAAAATTTAAATGCATTCTTTACCATCCAATTTAAGACCACCTTTCATCTAAGATCAAGAGTTTGTACTCTTTCTTTAAATATTCATAGAAGAATTTGAAATTCTCAAACAAAAAAAAAAGTGATTAACTCTTAAAATTAAATAACAAGAATTTTTGTGTTGCAATATTTCGAGCTTTTATTCGGGATCAAGGCAAAGTTAATGGGAGTGAAAAGTTCAGTAAGAAAAGAATGGGAATGTGAAATAAGATTTTGCGAATGCTTTATGTACGGTAGTATTTGTTAGAAGTATACAGAGTTATCTATATATATATATATATATATATATATATATATATATTATATATATATATATATATATAAAACTCTGGAAAAGAGAAGTGACTCTCTGGCGCTTGAGAAGCGTCGGTGAATTCTGAAGAAACTGGGACACCCGACGATCGAAACTTGCAGAGAGCTTACGGGCTTTCCTGAAAGTTACCACCGAACGGAGAATAGGTTGCAAGTCCAAGTACAGTATACTTATAGCGTATACTATCTTTCTCAGTGAGAGAGCCGAGGAATTTTGAGTGAAGAAACGTTTGTTTGTTTATTTATTTTCTTATATTGTAATGTATTTTCCGATAAATCAGGGTGAAGCTTTTTGTTCAGCACTCAAAAAGTAGCCCTTTATAAATTCAAAGGCACTGTTATATATTAGGACTAATATGTATGTATTTTTAATACATTTTAGTTAAGATATATACTTCACCACAAAGCATTGAAGAAATATAATTTAGCTGTTCATTGTTCTCAGATAACAAACCAGTAATTTATCATTACTTTATTACCTTGATATTATATTATTCTATACATATTTATATTTATCAGTATTTTATTTTATTTATATTAAATTTAAAACATGACGTTGTAATAAATTTCGTCTCAAGAAAATGACTAAAAAGTATACTCATGAATCTTGCTTCCAGTCATAATACTTATACTTGGAAGAGTCTTACTCGTACAAGCGTATCCACTAACTCGCGAAAGCTAAAGTAAGGCCAGGCTGAGGATGATTAATCCGATTTACGGGGGATGCAATTTAAAAGCTAGTCATCTTTAGGCAGAGTATTAAAAATGAAAAAAAGCATAATAAGCTTTAAAAGTTACTGTCCTGAAATTTCGTAATCAAAACTTTTGTTAATACATCATCATATTGTGTCATCTATGTACAAATAGACTATAGGATATTTCATACTAATCAAGATAAAGATGAATGATATTAATATTTTATAATGAAATATAAAGATTGGAAATTTAAGAAAATATCCAATCAAAGTTATATAAATTATTGGTAATATCTGTGACAAAAACAAATCTGCTGAAATTTTACCAGTTACATAAATCACTAAATTTGTTTGAAAGGGATTTATCGTTATTTTTCGCATTGAGACAACCTATCATACAGATACCTATATTATACATCAATACGCCAGTATTGACATGCACGTACACATTTGAACAATCTTAAAATTTCCATCTCGTATGTGAAGTTTTAAAAGTTTTAAATTTTATATTTTAAAACTTGGGATCTACTTTTGTGCATTTACTGTATTCACCCTCGGAAATTTGTAATTTTTCATTCAAAGCGTAGTGTGTGACCTAGATGAAAGGTTTTGAGATGAAAAATCGACTTACATCGACCTGAATTCACCCGCGAAATCACACAAATGCCACTCAATTTGAAAGAAAAAATGATGGAAGAAAAAAGTCGTTTTAATAATATTTGTTACTGTCATTATTGTTATTATTATTATTTTTTATACAAAATGAATGATGAACATATAATAGCTCGGCATTCTATGCTATCAGCATCTAAGAGTGAACAATGAGCAAAATTTTTTTTTCCATTGCTTGTTGGTTTCACTTTACTTTTCCAATATCAATATTAATGGCTTACAAGTTGTCTTCTATTCTAGCTTCATTTATTGTTTTAGTTTACGTTCCAATTTTTTTTTCTTCAAAGCATTTTAATGGCTTCAATATGAAAAACTTGTTCTATTCATTTTGTTTTTTTAAACAACTCCATAAAATTTTATTTTAATTTCAATGTTTTGGTTTAATGCAACATAAAAGTACATTTCAACAATATTATTATTATTATTATTATTATTATTATTATTATTATTATTATTATTATTTATCTTACATCAAAGTGTTGACATTTGGTTTGACGCTATCAATAATAACCTCGAAAATTTCAATAAGCGTAAAAGTTTTATCAGCCGTATTGAAAAATTAATTATAAATCAATTAAAAAAAAACCTTCATCACATCAAATCCATTTCCACGTTAAAGCTTAATGCTCATTTTTTTAATTAAATTTTAAAAAAAGGTTAATGAAAATCCGAAAATAATAACGAGTTACTGAAAAGTTATTCATCAACGTCTTATTACATATTGTGTTATTTTTACGACGTATAATTAGAACTGATATCTAAAAATAAACATAACGCATGGATGAAATTATTTTCTCATCCGTATTTTTTTTTGACTTAGCATAGGCGGCATCTGATAATTATCGTGACTGTGAATCTTATTTGTAGTGCGTGACTTTCTATTTTTATCTCTCATTATAGGAAAATCTTGTACAATTGAAATACCATCATTGTAAATTAAAATTTAATTTTAGACTTGTAATTATAAAAATAACTTTAAATTCCAGTATTATTTTTATATTTTTAGTATCATTTGAAATTCATTTCCACTGAGAATTTTCTTGTTAACAAAGTTATTTAACAGAAAAATAAGTGAAAGAACAATTCTTTTTATATTTTTCCAATTAATCTTTCGTGAGTTTATTTTTAACCATTATTCTTCTTCTAGTCATTGATGGGGAAAAAAATTTCTCATTAATGTAATAGCTTAAGAATTTCTAACAAAATAGCATTCATGTATCTGGGTTCTTAGATTAAAAATATCAATCGATAAAACGAAAATACTCGATAAAAAATGCGATCAATTTACTTATTTTTCATTTTCAATGTAAAAATAAAATTTATCTTCTGTTCTACGAAACTGAGCTTTCCCGAACAGAAAAAAATAACTTTTTTTTTTTTTCGTTGAATTTATTCAAAGTCGAATTCTTTTCTCTCAAAGTTACATATGTGGATTAACTTATCTTTTTTTTTTTCTTTTATATTAATCTGTGACAACATTTTGATTACATTTACACATACGTATCAGTTTGGATATTTTTTAGCATCAAAACATTATTACCGTGTCACATTTTTATCTTATTGTGAAGTTCGACATCAACCTAAGTTATTAGTTGTCTAGCCAATGCTGACATTATAGCTCAAATATTGATTATTTATAATTTTTATAGACATAATTATTTCACGTTCGTGGATCATCACCTGTTAGAACATTTATTTTTTATTTATGTTAGTCATTCGCGATCTAACTTTTCATCTTATTATTGTGTCTCTATATAAATAATAACAAAATTTATAATTGACATTGAGTATTTCCTGTAGTACTTATTCACCTAGAAGGATTCATCCCTATTGCCGTAGTAACTGAGTCGTTCTTTCAATTTTTAAGTGTCTTTGTACCACTCAAAAGAATTGTATTGTATTACATCTACTCTCCCTCGTAAGAGTGCTTTAAAAAATTTGTAGCGCTCTAATTAAACTTAAAATAACCTATCATCATAATTTTTCCATCTAATTCGTCAATAGCCTTTCACTAGTCTTTCGCTCAAAAAACGTCTAAAAAATGAAATCAGAAATAATAGTTAAACCGTTTAAATAAAACTGTAGAACAAAATAAATATTCTGGTCTCAAGTAGTCAGCTGAAGTGTTGACAGAATAGTAGATGTTATACAATATATGAATACGTAATAGTGCTACTAATTTATTCTGTGGAGTATATTTTCTGAAAGCCGGCGAGCTAGTCGACAGCAGAATGAGCCAGCTACGTGTAGACTCTCCATGCTCTGGCGTACTTTATCAATGTTACATTAATCAGTCGCGATCTGTTATAAGTATATGAGTACATGCACATATATACATATACATATATACCGTGACACTGGTAATTTTAGAGCCCAGCGTTTGTTATTTTACAAGTAAAGACTTCATAAAATATATTTACGAATGAATTATTAAGACTTTGTTAAGTTTGTGGTGTGCATTTAACAAGTACACATTTGTTCGTTATTAACAGTAGCTCGTGAATAACCAACTGAATAGAATAAAACAAACATTAATATTAACCCGCGACAGGTGTGCATGTTACTCAGAATTATTTGCACAAATATTATCGCAATTAATACATTAGACTCCCTCCATAAGGTCACGCCCGATAGTTGATTCTTCGGCTTTAGAGACATTATAAACACGAATAAGAGGACCTCAAGGGACCTGATGATGCTCTCATTTTACTATGAGATGGTTGCCCCAAGACACTTGATCAATGTTCCATTAATCAGCCTCAGCTGAAATACCAGTTACCAGAGTACATGGCGATTTAATACACACTCCTTCAGTTACTGCTTTTACTCTATACTTATACATTTACAGATTGGTGTGTGTGTCCCAAGATCCACTCGTTTTTCTCGTTACTTGCTAGTGTTAGTTGGTACATGTATTTACGTAGGCGGGTGGTCGATGTTTTTCCCGAGAGATAACTACCAACAATTTGCAATGTACTCCCTTGATAATTATTCCTGTAGTCATAATTGTGGAGGAGTTAATGTGTTCGTTTAATTTAATAAAGATTAATTTTTACTTTATTTACCGATATTGTTACGGTTTAATTATTTTATTAATTTTTTCTGTCTGGCGGAAAATTTTTAAAATAAATTACAACGTGTGAGACGAAAATTTGATAGCGAAAGAGAAGAGACTTTGGTTGAAATAAATAAAGTATTTACTCAGATGAATGTAACAAAAAGCAACATAAATAGAGTCGTAACACGTTATAAATTTACACTTTAAATGGTTTTTTATAATGTTTTATTGCGTCGGTGGACATAACTTTTAAAATCTGACATGTAGTGTCGACAGTGTTAGTTGAGCTTATACAGCGGAGGAACATAATGCAGCTCGAGAAGATTCCAGTGTGGTTTAAAATAAGCTAAAAGTACTGTATACCGCCCATGAAAGTTCTTAGCGTTTCTTTAGTAAACTATAAACACACATATAACACCATTCTCAGTGCATGAGTAGATGTGAGAAAAATACACTTGAGATTTTCACATTTCCGAGACCGAAACGACGGTAAAAATACCTTAACATGTATACGTCTGAATGTAGAAACATAAATACGCAGTGTATACATTTTTTAGTATTGTATGATATTTTTCCGTCCGAGCTATCATACGATGAATTTTTAAACTACCAAACGACCAACTATTTCGTACGTTATTCAGTACGCTTCACCGACATGTGATACACTCTAGTAATAAATGAGAAATATGTAGCATTGCTGTTGGATGAATTTTAATATCTATTTTAAAAGTATGTTGGGAATAAAATTTAAAAGATAAAAATTTAAAAAGTGATTTAGTAGCCGTACCCATGCCAAACAATTTTCACTGCTGCCCAATTTTCACTTCAGAGAAAAAATATAACTGTCGACCATTCTTTAAACCGGAAGTTACGTTATTCTCGGGAAACAGGAACAAAAAAAGACACAATCTATATACGTGTATAATGATAATAATCGTTGGTATGAAACTGTAGCAATGACATAGAAAATGTTTCAAAAAAAGGTTATTTTAAAATCACTGAAAATTTGAATAGATGTGTGCTAGAATTCGAAAAATTTTCAAGCTAAGTCGTGACGATCAGCTGAGTAATAAAAGATAAATAAATAAATTCTGTATAATCCGGGCAATCTGAGATTTAGTTTTTGATAGTGAAGCTATAATCTTTTATTCAAACTTTTCGAGTAGAGATAGCCGGGTTATATCGATTTCAAGGAATAAAATATCATCTCAGAGACTGAATAATTCCTGTGAATGCAGTAGAGATAATCGGAATGGTGCGGTTCAGGATTGCAATGTATAGTGTACTGTAAAAATTAGTCAATGTACAAATATTATAATATTCGGGTGAAAAAGTTGTGGAGCGAAACACGTTTTTGGAATTATATAGTTAATTTTAAGAAATTACTATTTAATTCGAATAGTTACTGTACGATGGTATTATCTCATATTAATATGTGTACACTTATATTTGAGAATACGGAAGAGGGAAGAAGACGAAAGAAGAAGAAGAAAAAGCCATGGAGGTGGAAAAGTATTTCCGAGATAGTTATAAAAGTTATCCTGTGAGTTTTGGCTTCAGTTTGTGTGGGAGACACTCATTGGAAGTTTGCTTGTTAGGATAGACGTGTTTTTCTAGAAAAAAGTAAAAGTCCGGAAAAATGGTTAGTTGACAGATTGTTATTTTTTTTTTATTGGATTAACGAGTGCTAATTAAATATTTCTTACCGCGAGGAAATTTTTCAACGTTCCTTAAAACATATATTATAAATATTCAATAGTTTATATAAATTAATTTTTATCTCAAGGATTTCAATTATAAAAAAAAATGTGTCAAGAATAATATTTATTGAATTTTCAATCGTGCGAAATTGCCTGTAGAAATTTTCTTCTTCATAATACTATTGGCATTTCACCCTCAAGCAAAAATAAAATCAATATTGTATTATAAACCAATAATTGAATTTCTGGGTAAATTAATATTAATATTATTTTCCAAAAGGACACCTCCTGATTTTGTAAGAGATTTTTATTAAATTTTTTTTTCATTCATAAAAATAATTTTTATTTTTATAAATATTTTCTTATCTTGTTCATGGTTTTGAATTGAATTTATTCTTCTCTGACGTTATTTTCAGTTCCATTTTTTGTTGAAAAAAATATTATATACTTGAGAGACGTAATAGTATTTACAGAGAAAAACCTTTTAGTCCTTGTTAAAAATTTAAACGCATAAAGTAATCCGCTTAAGCTAAAAAACTTTTTAATTAACAATGATAACGTATCTAAATTTTCAAAAAGAGGATTTTTGGTGACGGTATAGCTTTGCATACTATTTAATATTAATAAATAACAATGTTTTGATAATCAAATGAAAGCTGATTAATACCGAAGATAAATCATTTATTAATGCTTCAATGAAAATATATATTTGTAGATAAAGCAGTTAATTAAAGCTATTCAAATAACGAATTAATTAGTATTTATAATTTGCAAATGAGCACATAAAATAAAACACATTAAATAAATTACTCATGACGCTGATAACTCACTTTTTTATCTCTTGTCACATCGCTGCCAAATTTCAATCTTTTGCTCTCCTATTAATCTACCTCAGCCCGTATACGAACCGTAGAATTGTATACATGTGTGTATGAGCACATAAAATCCTGAAAGATAAAAGCCACCTCAATTCAATTTCATTGGGCTCGTTTGTTTTTCATCGATCTAACTGGACATTGATGTTAGTGTGTGCCTCAGTTTTTCAATTTCCAATTAAATAACTCTTAGATTTCTTTCAACTGTAAACGTTTCTATCGTTCGATCGGAAACTCTATAATATCCTAACTTATTTTATATTTCTTAATATGTTTCAGGATGATGAACAAGTACAAAGTAAGAACATTTTTTTTCTACGCTTTTGAGTTGAAATAGTGAACTTACATTGAATTCATTGAACGTCAATATTAAAATGATTATAGATAACAATTTTATATTTAGTGACAATTTGAACGGTGAAATGTTTTAATTAAATGTCAGGTCATCTTCAATTATGAGAATTGAAATCGATTAATAATATTATTTATAACATTCTTAGTAAATTTGCATATTCTTAAATTATTGCAGTTTCAATGTAAGTTCATTAAATTCTTTAAGCGTAATGTCAATTTATTATTTCGATTTGAGATTACTTCAAAATTAACATTTTTTTTTCTAAACCAAAAATTCATTATTTATTTTCTAATTTTTATTATTAACAATATATTTATTTAAGATTTGCATTAAATCGCTCTTTGTTGTTATTAATATAATTAATCAATTAGTTTTAATAAATATGTTAATTCTATACTATCGAATTGTAACTATGTCAACAACTATCATCTGCGATAGGGAGATAATATTCATTGGAATATATATTTAGGTCAGCTAACATATTTATTTATAAATTAAAATAAATATAGCAATAACAATGATGTACATAATAGGTAAATTTTCGATACCGATAATAAATTAATAATTGTAGATATTCACCTTTTATTTATAAACAATTTTTTTTAATTACTGGGAATTTACTCAATACATAGAAAGAATAAAATTCTTTTAAAGTAGAATAAATGTAGGATTATATTAATTTTTTGTGCATTAATTTTAAATAGCATTTCTGCAGATGCCGATTTGGCATAGTTTCCCAATCCTCTCTTAAAAAAATAAATGCCAATGAGTGTGAATGTCTATGGATACATTTGGCACTACTGCGATACGGATTTTTCAACACGCGGGGGTTATGAAATTGCCATCTCAAGTATTTTAAAAATCAAATTGCTTTTTTTGTACCAAGAAATAATATTTAATCAATGGAACAAGAATGATATTTGCCAGCATTTAATGCCAATGCCTTGCTTTCTTCTTCTTTGATATTTTTTGCACTTGAGAATAGCGTTTTGCAAGTGAAGTAACCTCATTTATCCTTTGAATCCAATCTCAGTGTTAAAAAGAGCTTTTTCGATGTTCGACTCAACAAAGTCTGGAAAAATCGACAAAGAAAAAGTGAGAACCATTTTGAATACACTGGGTCACACTTTCGATGATCAAGAGCTCGAGTTACTTTTGAAACAAGAAGACGTTGATGGTAAGTTAACTTTTACATCGTGAAGGGATATCACGTAATGTTAATTTAACATCTTTACTTATCTACACTGAGAAACTAAAATGAATTTTATACAATGGAATTACTTAAGAAGTTAAAAAAAAGATACAGAAAAATTGTGAGACTTTTTTCGGGGATAATTTAATTTGAATAGAAAAATTATTCTCAGTTTCATTGTATTTCTTATCCTTTAGAAAAAAATTTTAATTTCCAATTGAAATTCTGACTATTCTCTATTTTGCGAGCGAACATATCCACAATCATATGATAAATAATTTAATATGAAAAAATTTTAAATCAAATTGATCGTCTTAAATATTTATAAATTATTTTAATGTTAAAAATTTTTCACAGTGTAGCTACATAAATTTTAAATAGTGATTAGGTCGATTCATACGAATAATAGAAAACTCTATTATGTATCTTACTTCTAAGTCGATGTATTGATCTACAATGTACAATAATAGTAAATAAAAGTTTGGAAAATCCAAATGAGCATGCCTTAAGCGCTCATGTCATACATAAAATATTTAGATCATAACAAAAATTATTCGTTTTTAATTTGAATTTTCCCGCGAGTAGTATTATGCCCTCTGTAGGTCGAACTAAAGAAAAATTTTACCAGATGATAAAACAGTTAGTAATTATACCAGCATGTATGTATAGTTTCTGCTTGTTTATAGTTATTTCAATTCTGTTTATGAAAAATAATACATATGGCTGCCGAAATCGCAGAAAAAGTCACCGAACTGGCAATCGAAAAAAATTAACTGTATCGAAACGGAATTATTTTGACCCGCAAGTTTCACAAGGGTTTTGATAAACTTCCTCAGGAATAAAACAGAAAAAAAATTAAATCGTGAAAGTGATTTTTGACAAAGTTGTGGTGTTGTCAAGCCCATAGCTTCCGTGAATACCACGCTCTTATTCATTTAATTCATCAGAAAAACGAGTTTTTTCTGAGAAATCTTATTTAATCGATGAGAAAATTTTTTTAATGTGTTCTATAGTTACTATTATTTATTTCAATATGCTTTTTATCCATAATTTTTTTCGTTTAAATTATGAAAATCACGTATTAATCGAAATCACGATTTTTAGGCGAGAGTAGAGCATACCTGCGCGCTTCGCGCTTAAGGCATGCAATAAAGTGCTTAGATATGATCAGTGATAGTTATAATTAATTTAAATAATTTAGTAGTTTATCAATTTTTCCTTCACATCGAAATCTCAGATAATCATGATAATAACTTTTAATAGAATCATTAAATTTAATTAAAGACAAATATAATAATCAAATAAAGCCTTGGCTGCTTTATGAAACTTGAATATGCAATATTTAAATAAAATAAATCAATCGTATGTAAAGACAGATGTGCTCTACAACTATGTAATACAAACATCGTTCGTTTGCTGTATATGGTAATAGATTTTGTATCTCAACAACCGGCTGTGCCACTATCTACAACATATATGCAAATACACACACTTGTTTATCTCCCACCTACATACTCACACACTCACAGACCTCAAAAACGTTTACTCGACAAACCTATAAAGCTCTGAAGATTATGCGCAGATTGCAAATACGCTATGCAGCTAAGCTACACTGATACACACAAGTGTGTAAATGAGATAAACTTTACATCCTGGGTAAAATTGCAACCCAGATTGTATAACGATCCCATATATAACGACTCGATATTCTCTATCATGTATCGTATATCCACTCATTATTTCACCCGTCATGAATCAAAATGTATTCCTTTTTCTTCCAAGCTCGGATAATGATGTTCTCGATATTAGGTTCACATTGTAATTACTTTTGTTGAAGTTTATAATGATATAAAAAAAGTTTTAACAGTCTACTCAGTAATTCCCAAAATAGTTCTCATTATTCTTTTTAAATAATTATAATAATTTAAATTAATTTTTTTTTAATTATAAAAAATATCGTATTTTAATTTTTATTCTGGCTAACCGCGGAGATTGTTTCGTTCCCGCGACATACCTCCCGATTAAAATGCCACCGAGTTAAGCTCTTCGGGGGCATTTTGACACCGCAAAATTTTCATTGTAACTCGTCGCGTGGGATTTTGTTCCACCCGGTGTGTGAACAATATATCACGAATGGAAGAAGAGAGAGGAATTGAAGAGAGAGCGAGAACGATTTTTGAGCAGAATCGGCATGAGGGTTCAGAGGTCGAGGGTCAGGGTAGGTGTCGGGGTGGGAGGTTGATGCCCATACCCAGTTTGGGCAATTTGGAAGACGTGCTCCAATGAATCTGCGACATGGCGTAACGAAGGTGTCGGTGAGTGTGTAAGCCTGTATTACTTTGCCCGGTATACAAATGACGGTGGATTGGATACTAAGTGAGGGAGAGAATGAGCAATAAAGTTTAGCAGACGAGTGAGAAAACCAAGCAGAGACAAGAGGTAGAGTTTAGCAAGGAAAGCAAACGCGGTGGAGATTCTTGTTAGCCACACGGTGTCGTACATTCTACACAAGAGTGAGCAGACAATGTTTGATTACATATGATGATCATGATTCTTAACAAGAATATATTAATTAATTTTTACTTTAAATATGAAGAGATCTTGACTCGACTTTTTTTTTTTTTTTAAACTTCTATTAATCTTTCTACATCATTAATTTCTTTCCTTATTATTATTATTATTTTTTTTTAATTCTTCATTACACAATAGCGTTTTTTTAATTTTTTATTTTTACTACAAAAATTGCGTAGGTGTTTTGCTTGGCAAAAATACACTCGTAAAAAGTAACGATTAAAAATAATAAAACAATTAAAATAATAATAAAACACAAGGCAAGATGTAAATTTTACAATCTCTGAGCATTATCAAGTGTCAATTCCTCTGCGTTAGTAGTTTACGCTTATGGTAATGCATATAATTGCATATTATTATTTATATATCTACGTATATATAAATATAAAAAAATCACAAATAAAATATATATATATATATATATATATATATATATATCATTACGTACTATATAGTTTTATTGTTAGAAGGGCATATAGGATGTACGTGATACCGCCATGTGTGCGTGCTATCCTGGTGGTCCTTTATCGAGTCGACTACCGACAAGATGTATGAGCCTTAACTTGATATGTATTGTTATTATTATTACTATTATTATTATTGTTTTTGTTATTGTTGTTATTATTCAAAGCACGTAGTTGTTATCAACATTTAATCAATGCAGGTGTAGGAGTTGATTCAGATTTAATCTCTACATAGCATCCAACTTCACACTCAGTGTAGGTATCGACCGAACTATTCTCTGCTTCTCTGTTACTTTCTGTTATAGCTCATTCGCTCGCTCACTCACTCACTTACTCATCAACTTCCCTTCATCAGCCGCGTTTTGAATAGATATCAAACTTCAATATGACACCAACGTTGATAAATAACTTGAGTGATTTCACATCACGGAAATTGTGCCCAAATAAATCTATATCCAACAATTAAACTATCTTACCCAAATTTAAAATTATAAACTATCGATTTATTTAAGAATTATTCATTTTTTATAAACAATAAATTCAAGGAGAAATTTGGAAAAAAAATTCTCTATTTATATCATTCAAAAATCTAGTTTTAATTATTTATAATTTGCAGGCAATGGAGTGCTTAACTTTGACTCGTTTTATCGCGTGGCGACTCATTTCCAAGAAGATGATGACGATGAAGCGCTTCAAAAAGAATTAAAAGAAGCATTTCGTCTCTACGATAAAGAGGGCAACGGATATATCCCAACAAGTTCATTGCGTGAAATCCTGGCTGCTTTGGACGATCAAATTACACCGGATCAAATGGACGGAATGATTGGTGAAATTGATACCGATGGATCAGGAACCATTGACTTTGATGGTAAGCAACCCCTTTTGAACGGACCCCTATTGTTCAGTAATTAATCAACGGGCAAATAAACCAGCGTTGTTTGCTTGTGTCTTTATAACATTCTCATTGATTCGTATATTTCCTTTAATTCCGATTGCTGGTCTCCGATACAAATTTTGTATCGAATGTTCAATTCTAGATGATTGGTTTTACACAAGTTCCATCACATTTTAAATTACCGTGAGGATTTCGTAATACGATTATTACCATTTTATTACTCATACTCGGTTGTTTAAAGAATGGGCTGGTTAAAGATACATGTATGCCTATACTTATGCTGACACTAGACTGTGAGAATAACGTTGAATTAAATTTCTTGCGGCAAACAAACCTCCATTACGACAACCGCGAGTTTCCCCTTGGCATAATGAGTAGGTTAAGATTTTAATTGCACTAAAAGCTCAAAGCTTCTATAATTCATTTATTTTTTTCCGTATACACGCTCTGTTATGTAAATATAAATAATTCATTATAATTTTTGCAACGTGTTTTAATAATCCGTGACACAATTTTAATTCTAAGATTTTTTTTTCGTTTAATAAATAATTTAAAGATTTAAGTAAACGCTCAAGTTATTAAAATATTAAATAAACTCAAGAGCACTTTCGTTAAAAATTAAAAATTCTTGTTATCTTAAATAAGATTTAATATGAACCGTCTTAAAAAGTCACTTAAGTTAGCTGACTATGCATCTGAACAATTTTAAGCTGAGTATATCTATAATCTTAGTAGACAATTAAATTTTAAATGTACAATTTTCTTCTCAATTATCTTCATTCCCCAATTATTCTACTACCTCTCGTATTTCTCGCTATTATAGGATAGTAATAACAATAATAATAAGAATATTAATAATAATAATAATAATAATAATAATAAAATGCAAATTACTAGGGCAAAATGTAGAAGTTTTATTTTTTTTTCTTTTTTCAGAATTTATGGAAATGATGACTGGAGACTAAAAATATGCAAGTTTCACAATGAAAAACAAAAAGCGTATAATAAAATTATAAATTATACAATACCTAGCCCGTTGAGAAATAGTTTAATACAATATAAAGAAAAAAAAAAACATTTTTTCTCTTCGTACAGAAGAATTAAACTCATAAATTATTAAAAATAAAAAATAAATCCAAAAAGAAGAAAGAAGAATCAAAGCGTAATTTATAATGAAATAATATAAAATAATTTTCATTTAATAAAATCCCATAAATCCTGTGATCCTGACGTAAGTAATTCTCCATAATTATAATTTTTTAATATACCCTCAAGGAATGACTTTCATTTTATTTTAAAGATTATTATGCATACAAATTTCCCCCTTCAAATTCTTTTGTTCTCATTATAAATTTTATGAATTGCGACCAGTAGCTTATGAGAGAGTGGAGCAAATAATTTTGTAAAATATAATAGAAAAGATTAGAAATAGATATAGGCGAAAATTGAAAAGCGGAAGATTTTAATCACGTAGGTAGCTCATTTTGAAAAGGTTTTGTGCAGGTCGTATGCTTTTTCTCATTCTCTTGACGTCGAGATTAATGGTTTTTGCATGAAAAGCCAGAGTAAGAGGATGCTTGAGGCGTCTTTTTTTTATTACTAACACCATTATCGTTATCATTATCATTATTTTTTATTTACTTTATCTTTCATTCATCCCTGCTTAATTTTTTTTTGTTTATAAATTCATTCAAACTAAAACTAAAAAAATCGAATAAACTTTAACGGACTGGAGAAGCGAAAGCTGCCGGCAACGATGTACAAAATTCACTGTCGTTTAAATATTCATAGTTGGTGAACTTGGTAAAAGGTAAGAGGGCGAACGGGAGGAGGATGAAAAGGTGCGAGAGATGCATTGCGCTGTCCGCTTGGTAATCTCTCAAGGGTGTTGAAGTACATTCTACTAGAGAAGCTAGAAGGAGAGAGAGAGAGAGCGAGAGAGAAAGAGAAATTCAAGCCTCCGGCTGTCCATAAGACTGAGTAGAGGGTTACTGAGCTAATAGTGTGTCAAGATAACGATACACCTTGAAGCTAAATCTAGTCAAAGTCAAAATGTAGATACCCGTCTACCCTTCTATGTAATCTAAAGCTAAACCTGAACCGCAATCGTTATTCTATTTGAGTGGGTTGTTGATAATTATTATTATTATCTTAATTAACTAACTCTCTAATCCAACAGCGGTAGTTTAGAAATTTCCGTGCGTGAATATTTTCTAAACAATGAACCGTAGGCATTCTGGTCATTGTGTTTTGACAATACAGCTCGTGGATATTATGTCGGTATAGTCGTCGATCGCGAGCTTTTGTTGCCTAATTTCGAGTTATAGCAACGCTAGGACCTATGGTATGAGAGATCGTGGCATTGTTATGAAAATTATAGACTCATACTGTCTCTATTGTTTATTTAATACTCTATAGATAAGTGGATTTAAAATTTTTCAAATCTTTAATCTAATCACCGATATAACAATCTAAATTTTCCACAAAACACTGCGATTATATTTGACATTGATTACTTACTATACTACATTTTCATGAAAATACTATAAACTACAAATTACGCGATCAATTGATGTAATTCATAAAGCATTAGCTTTCCGTCATTATAAAATTGAACTTTATTGACAATTTACCACTAAAACTAACGCAGTTCAATTATTGATAAATTAGCAAGGGGTTTGACTAGTTTAATTAGACAGCAATTATATATATTTTATGTTTTGTCGGAGTAAATAATACCTCACGTCGTAGTTATAAACATTTTTGTTCAATCAAGTTGATTTAACAGTTTGGAAACTATAGTTATCCACGTTATCTAAATCCACTGATAGAAGGATTTCTTAACATTTAAGAAGATTTCTTTGTATTTAAGAAATCATTTCTTAAACATCATTTCTTAGCATTTAAAAAATATTTCTTTGTATTTAAGAAATATTTCTTAAATACAAAGAAATCTTCTATAATGTTAAGAAATCCTTCTATCATATATGATATGAGAAGCCATTGAACGGTTTCATTGAAATTTAATATACACGGATTTTGAAATGTTTAAAAGACAAATATAAACTAACCTAGTTTTTTTGGTAATTGTTTTTAGGATAAAATTATTTTCTATAAAAATAAATTTTATAGTATTAAACTTTTGTTTCTGATTCATAATAATTTTCTATTGTAAAATTTTCGACAATAAAACATTATACTCAGCATAATTTCCACATCAGTGATTAACATTTTACATTGAATTATTTACACATCACTGGAGATTATTAATTTCTTTAAAAGTATTATATAGGGTCGCTATATAGAGATGCCATTATTATTAATTTAATAAAAATAATAAAACCAAGGGAGAAACTGCTTTACATCTATTAGCCGAATTAAAACTTTTTTATTTATTATTTATAAAACGTCGAGAATATTGAAGCTCCGCCATCAGTTAAAGTTACAGTTGAAGTAGATGTATGTAAGGAATTTTAAATTACAGATTCTCCATAGTTATTAAATTTGTTTTTTAGAGCTTATTAGAGTTTTTAAATTAAATAGTTTAAAAAGCTTATGTAAATTTATGATAAAATATGATCACGATGAAGTTTACCATGTGTTCGATATTAAAACCCTGTATACGTTTACTTTTGAATTTCATTGATGCAAATTTTATTTTTTACCAAATAAAATAAACGTCATATTTTATAAATATTTGCACTGATTTAATAAACGAAAAATACATATTGAAATGAATAATAAGAACAAATAAATAAATAAATAAATAAAGGTGCACGGAGAAACTATCTATAGAGTTATAAATAAAAAATAGATGTAATATTATCATCTTCATTGAAGAATGAATGGAAAATGAATTCATACAACCTACGCGCGTTGGATATTTGCCCAAAAATATATTATTGATGTCGTACAATTTACGTGTACACGTTCTGTAGCAATTGGCATACATGACTGTGACTATGACTACGATCAAATAATAGTAAGAATTGTCAATTTTAAATAAATATAGCCTTTAATTTTCTCTCTTTGTTTAATTTATTATTTATGAGTAGGGGTACTTATTATACATTGGTACAAGCATTAAGAAATCAGGGTCATAGATTTAAAAAAAAATTTTCATTATAATAATAATTTTTAACTTCAATTTATCAAGTACATTCTCACCGGTAATATAATTTCCAGTTTATTACGCCACAAAGATATAAATTTCTGTCATAGCTAAAGATAAAATAATAATAATAATCATAATAATGTTTAAGAATTTTATTTTGAAATAAATTATAATACTATTCTTAATGCGCCAATTTTTAAAACTCGCGACCACCATCAAGTCGTAATAAAATTAAAAATATCTATCCCAGAGAGAGTATCATAAATTCAATTAATATATTGATATGATACCAGTTCGAAAAAGCTTCCGAGATGGTAATTAAATATAGTTACTGTTATAACCAGAAAATTTCATTAATTATTGTGATATCCACATAAAACAAAAATGAAATCGATAAAAACATAACTCGCCCCACCTTGCCCTGGATCGTAAAAAAATTCACGATACAACACAAATGTAATATTATTGACAAAATCGATTTTGTTTCGTGTTGAGGTTCATTTTAACATGATGTCGCGTTTATGCATGTCAACCACCGTTTCCTACTCATATACGTCCAAGAATTTATCTCAAGGGGACGATATACAACAAGCTTGTTGTCACGTGTCTTGTTTCATGAAACCACGCTTTATGTCAGCGCTCAACATTAACGGTGATGTGTTCCCAGACCACAAGATCATCATGCTTCCACTGCACTCTGGGAGAAACGATGCAATTTACTTAAGACAGTAAATAATTGTCTCTTAACGATACTGCTATGGGTCGAGATACTATACACAATACTGGCCATAAACTATAACGAGATTGCTTTGTCAGTGAACAGTTTTATCGTTCATTTTTAATTGTTTTTCTTTTTTTCAATTACTTTGTACGGTATAGGGGATTTATAAAGAATAACATATA